GCAAGCAAGCAAGCTGAGGATTTAACTTATTTCCCCTCTTGGTACCCAGTCATACAAGCCCCTGATGGTCAATGGCTCTATGAAGAGATTTCTTTTCACATGATTTAAAAAAAAATCTAATCTTACATTGCATAGCCTTTATGTCCAAGGTGTTTTGCAGACTCTATCTGATCACATATCATCTCTACATTTTTTATTGGAATCACACAAAATCACAAATCACAAATCATCCTGTTAATCATCGATTGCCTCAAGCAGGCTCCAGTAACATCTCCTTCATCCTAGCCCTGATATTATATTCAAGGCTCTTTAGGAGAATGAGACCCATCATTGTTACTGGTATTTGGCATATTGGGTACGACACAGGAAGTTTGCCAGACTCTGCTGTGTGGGCAGGGTACATTCGGTAGCCTGCCAGTTTGTCCAAAGTAGGAATGAGATAATAAGATGTCATAATAGGATGTCGCGCAGCCGCAAATGCGGCCACACGGTTCCGGGAGCTGGTTTTTATAGTCTCTGAGTCTTGACCATTGATGGGATTATACGGCGCCAGGGGGCCAGTTGGTGGGTGTGACCCCCGCCTACTGGATTTTGGAGGATTTGGGTGGAGGATGCTTGGCCCAGATCCGAGCAGGCTTGGAGATCTCGGCCCTGGGACCCGTGTGACTTTGTCCCTCTGCCAGTACCTTCATATGTGCAGAGAGTGGTCTCAGCATGGTGGTGGCTGGTCCTGGAGGTCTTTGACTGCTGGAGCCCTGGTCGGGGCGGGGAGGAAAGCTCAACCCGCTCCCCTCCAAGGGGCCCTGGTGGCAAGGACAGTCAGGCACGGGGGCAGGAAACTGCACTGTTCTTCTTCCGGGAGCTGATTTTTATAGTCTCTGAGTCTTTTATTGGAATACCCTTATAAAAATGATCTTGGCATCAGTTTAGTATGACATTTATGCACCCGATTAAAGGGATCCTGCATTCAACACGTTGGTCTTGGTATTCAAGCAGGATTGCAGATCACCTATGACCAGCTCATTGGGATAGGACAATGACAGCTGCCCAAAGAGCAGGCCACTCTGCCAACTGCAGTCTATAGTAAATAAGGCTATCTAATTCTGAGTCCACCCCAAGTAACCACTGGGAAAGACTCTCACCTCATTTGCTACCACCAAACAGGGACCTATGGACCCTTATTAACAAATAACAAGAGGCTATGAAGAGACAGAGAGCTAGGAGGCAGCTGTTGTGCTATAGAAATTGCCAATGAAGATTATAAAACCATCCTGGGAGGAATCTGCCCCTGCCTAGAAGATAAGCGGATGTTGTTGGATTTCATTAAGATTTGTCAAAGTGTGGGAACTGGAACTCAAAAGACCTGGATGCTAGCAAGAACAAAATAAAGGAAAGAGAGACCAAACTGTTTTGGCTATAGAAAAGTAGGATGTTGTAAATCAGAATGTGGGCACACATCTTTTAAAGAAAGAACCTACTGGAGTGTGTCCAACATGTAGGAAGGGATAAACATCATTGGTCAAACCTGTGCGGCATTCCTCCCTATGGCAGAAAAAGAAATCAGGCCACTATGAGCCTCCACTAGAGGAAGTGCAAGATTAAATTTAATAGTGGATGGAGTCATGCCCACAAGCTTCCTCCGGGCGCCATTTTGGCTCACCAGCAGCCCTGGTCCAGAGACATAGCAACCAGTCCCAAACAGCACCACAGCACCAGAGATTCCTCAGGGCCCCCATACAAGTCATTTTTGCCAGGGCACCACAGATAGAGCAGGTGCAGTCTCCTTGCCTACTCCAGATGGAATCCCAGTGTCCAAGAGTTCCCACAAGCAAGGCCCAGGTATGCGTGTAGCAGGACTATATCTCCAGGCTGCATGGATGAAGCCTGGAGGCAGAGGTGCCTGGCCATCCCATCCTGGCTCTCCGAGTGCCCCGAGGCCTTGTTGTCACACCCACAAGCTTCCACCGGGTGCCATCTTGGTGCAGAGCCCCTGTTCTAGGTTCTTAAAGAAAAAGAAGCTTAAAACTTTTTGTTTTAATCTGTCTAAATTTGGATAGATATTGCTTTGAATTTGTATAGTAATTTAGATAAGATGGTTATTTTAACAACATTGATTCTTCCAATCCATTCAAAATAATGCCCAAAAACATCAAGTACCTCGGAATCAATTTACCAAAAAAGTTTGGATATCTATGCCATGAGAACTTTAAAACACTTAAGATAGGGGCCAGAGCAATAGTACAATGGGTTCGATGCTTGTCTTACACGCAGCCAACCTGTGTTCAATCCCTGGCATCCCATATGGTACCCCGAGCACCACCAGGAGTGATTTCTGAGTGCAGAACCAGGAGTAGCCCCTGAAGACTGTTGGGTGTGGCACATAAACAAAAACACTTAAGATAGAGATTGAAGACCTTAAGAAATAAAAAATTATTTCTTGTTCACGGATTAGAAGAATCAATATTGTCGAAATGACTATCCTACCTAAACTATTATATAGATTCAGTGCAATCCCCAGCCAAATTCAAATGGCATTCTCCAAGGACTTAGAACAGTCAATAATAAAGTTTTGTGGACTCATAAAAGACCCCGGATAGCAAAAACCGTACCGAAAAGTGGGAAATTGGGAGGTATCTCATTATGCAACTTGAAACTATACTACAAAGCTTTAGGAATAAAAATAGCGTGGTACTAGAATAAGGATAGACTCTCTGATCAATGGGTCAGAATCAAATCTCCAAGGACAAACCTCTGCATATACGGTCAGCTAATTTTTTACAGAGAAACTGAAAGCATGAAAAGAAATGAAATAAAAACAGTGTCTTCAGCAAATGGTGCTGGGAAAATTGGAAAATGACGTGTAAAAATTAAAGTTGGGTCCACATCTCACTTACACAAAAGTCAATTCAAAGTGGGTCAAAGATCTTGAGATCAGGCAAATATCAATAAAGTACACTGATAGGCATAATAAAGGCAGAATGTTTCAAGATTTGGACCTCAAAAGTGTATCCAGTGATACGGTGCCATTGACAAAGGTGACAGAATCAAAAAATTAAACAAATGGGACTACATCCAATTAAAGAGTTCCTACATGGCAAAAGAAATGCTAGCTAAAACTAGAAGACAATTAACTAAATGGGAAGAAAATATTCACATTCAACACATATAGAATATTTATCTGGACAGTTCAGCCAGAGGCATGGCCATGGCTGTTGGGATATGAGTGCAGCTGGCTTTGGTAGGAAGATAAATTGCCCCACCCCTCACCCCAGATCACCCCAGAGGTCTCAGCTAGGACTGGGTATAAAGTAAGTAGTTGTGATAGGTATGGACTATAACCACTACTTATTGGTTAAGGGAACATTCAACACATCAGATAAAGTGTTGAAATCCAGGACATATAAAGTACTCATAAAGATCAACCCTGGAACGATAGCCCTGCGGGTAGGGTGTTTGCCTTGCACGCAGCCAACCCAGGTTCGATTCCCAGCATCCCATACGGTCCCCCGAGCACTGCCAGGACTAATTCCTGAGTGCAGAGTCAGGAGGAAGCCCTGTGCATCGCTGGATGTGACCCAAAAAGAAAAAAAAATCAAAAACAAAGATCAACCCCCTAAAAGTTCAAAATCCCTATCAAAAAGTAGGGAGAGGGATTTAAAAATAGGAAGAGAAGGGCTGGAGAGACAGCACAGCGGGTAGGGCGTTTGCCTTGCACGCGGCTGACCCGGGTTCGATTCCCAGCATCCCATATGGTCCCCTGAACACCGCCAGGAGTAACTCCTGAGTGCAGAGCCAGGAGTAACCCCTGTGCATCGCCGGGTGTGACCCAAAAAGAAAAAAAAAGATAGGAAGAGGAAATGAACAAGACACAGCTCAAAAACAGAGAGGCAGATGAGCATAAAGTCAGTAGTAAGTCCTTAACACCAATAGGTGTGGCCCAAAACCAAACAAAAAATTACAAGTCATCATCAGTAGCTGACCCATATATTAATTTCATCTAAGGTTTGTAGTCTCCAAAACTGTGAGTAAGCAGATTTTATGCTTGGAGACAGTACTGGGCCACTGGAGCAAATCGATGAACAACAGGAGGACAGTGCTACAGTGCTACTTAGCAAGATGGGGAGGAGGGGGATGGTGGGAAGAGTTGCAGGTGAAGGGAAGAAATTTATGTTCCCTCTTGAACTGGAGCTTGAAAGATCAAGCAAGCAAACACAAAGCTAGTGAGATAGGAGACAAGCAAGTGAGAATAGCCCCTTAAAGAGCGAACAGATTGGACATTTTATTTATTTTTTTAAAAATGTTAATTTAATCACTGTGAGATAAACCCTTACAAAGCTGTTCATGACTGGGTTTCGGTCATACAGTGTTCCAACACCCATCCCTCCACCAGTGTACATTTCCCAGCACCAGTGTCCCCAGTTGTCCTCCCATTACCCTCCCCCCCAATCTCCCCCTTGGTACTATTTGCTATAGAACAATTATACCCTTCCCCATGCTCCAAAAACTTTTATGCTGCAATTAGCTTCAGGACACAAGGTGGCAGAGCTCCGATATCAAAATCATTCTAAATTTTTAAAATCTACAGGAATTAATTTTATATCCCCCCCCCCCCCCATGAGAATAACAATGCTTCCAGTGCTTCCCTTTGGGTTAAGCTGCAGAATTGATGTTTCAACATTTGAAGAGATAAGGTTCTTTTAACTTGGAAAGCTCAGTGCCTAGACTAGGGATATTCAATGAAGAAAACGAAACCAAGCGTAAAGACACAGGGAAGGCGGCGCCGTCCCAAACCTGGGCTCCCCGGGAGAAAGGACACCGCTGCCGGGCCTTGGAGGAGACCGCCCTCGACTAAGAGGAGCCGGTCCCCGCCTTAAAGGTGCCTTTCAAGGCGGAGGGGGCGGGGCCTGCACGTTAGCTCCACCCAGGCAAAGGAGCCCGTCCCCGCCCCGGCACCTTTCAAGGGGAAGGGGCGTGGCCTGCACGTTAGCCCCGCCCAGGCGAGGAAAACGCTGGGAGCCGCGGTGCGGGCGGCGCGACCTGCGTGCGGCGTGACGCCATCACGCTCCGACCGGCTGCGAGAGAGAAGGGGCGCTGGAGGTGAGCGGGGTTGGGGGCTCAGGGTTCGGGGCCCGGCGATAAATGAGAGTTGCAAATGGACGAGGCGAAGCGAATCGCTTCTGGGGCAAAGCGACTCTCCGGGCCGGCGCTGTGAATTCAAGCGCCGGCAGGGCCAGCACCGGGGACTCGTGGTTTGTCTCTGACCCACTTTGAATTGACTTGTGTAAGTGAGATATGGACCCAACTTTAATTTTTATACGTCATTTTCCAATTTTCCCAGCACCATTTGCTGAAGACACTTTTTATTTCATTTCTTTTCGTGCTCTCAGCTTCTCCGTAAAAAAAATCAACTGACCGTATATGCAGAGGTTTGTCCTTGGAGATTTGATTCTGACCTATTGGTCAGAGAGTTTATCCTTATTTTTTGCTGGAATATACTATTTTGATCCCTAGAGTTTTGTAGTATGGTTTTGTAGCATGGTTTCAATGAGATACCTCCCAGTTTCCTGTCTTTCGGTATGGTTTTTGCTCTTCGGGGTCTTTTATGATCCCTTAAAAATTTATTCCTGAAAACACTGCTTTGGGGTATGGCTTCTTCCCGTTTGGAAAAAAAGAAAATGAAATTTAGAGAAGTTAAAACTAGAGCTTTGTGAGCTATGAAAGTGGGCTCTGAGCCGGGAATAGCCCGGAGCACCACTGGTTGTGCCCACCTCTAGGAAAAAGAAAAAAAGATGAAGTCTTGTAGTTTGCAGTGACATGAATAGAACTGGTGGATAACGTGTTGGCTGGAATAAGTGAAGGAAAGAGGACAAATAAAAGATGTTCTCGGGGCTGGAGCGATAGTACAGTGGGTAGGGCTTTTGCCTTGCATGCGGCCAACCCGGGTTTGATTCCCAGCATCCTATATGGTTTCCCGAGCACCGCCAGGAGTAATTCCTGAGTGTGGAGCCAGGAGTAACCCCTGTGTATCGCTGGGTGTGACCCAGAAAAAAAAAATGTTCTCATTCATCTGTGAGATATATAGAAACAAAACAAGGGAATAGTATCAAATAATGACAAACCACTGAATTATAAAACTCAGATTACTGAACAGCGTGAGGAAAGGTAGGAGAAATAAGAAAGAGAAGCAACTTAAGGACACTACTTTGGTGCCAGTGAAGTAAACATGTACATCAGAACCATAAATGTTAATCACTTCACTTCACTTGTCGCCCCGTTCATCCATTTGCTCTAGCCGGGCACCAGTAACATCTCCATACATCCCTGTCAAGTGCTAGTGTAGCCCAATGGTATCTGCCCGCTCTAGGAATAGGAAGAGCATCCGTTATTGTTGCTGTTTTTGGCATATCGAATACGTCACGGGTAGCTTGCCAGGCTCTGCCATAAATATTGATAGTATTATAAACATAGTACCTACACTATAAAAATAGCCCCCCCAAAAAAAAAGTTATTTCCAGAAAGCCAACAAAAAGGAGCCCTAGTGACATTTATTTATTGAGACATAACTGCATTAAACTTCGAAATTTGTTTCTCAGATTTTCAAAGCCACATTATGTCAATAGCGCGTTCATCTGTCCATGCCAAATGGATAGTAGGGAAGGTGATTGGGACAGCAATGCAAAGAACGGCGAAAGTGAGAGTGACCAGGCTTGTTCTGGATCCCTATTTATTAAAGGTAAGGAATGTCTCCTGTATTTTCAAATGGCCTTGATAAATCAACATGTTCTATTTCATGAGCATAAAAACACTTTACTGTCTGTGAAGATATTTTGAGGGGCTGGAGCAATAGCACAGCAGGTAAGGCATTTGCCTTGCACGCAGCTCACCTGAGTTTGATTCACAGCATCCCATATGGTTCCCCAAGCACCGCCAGGAGTAACCCCTTTGCATTGATGGGTAGGACCCAAAAAGCAAAAAACAAACAAAAAAAAAAACATGTTTTGAAGAGCTGTTGTGAACTAGGTACAAAGGTATATAGCAAAGTAAAATAATCATAGTGTGCAAATACAATTGATTTCTGTTCCATGTAATAGCCTTAACAAGTGTTTCTCTGTGCATTTTCCCAGTCATGAAAAACAGCATTATAGATTAAAAGAGATTCTATTTATTAGTTTATTTAGGTTTGGGGGGCATACCCAGCGATGCTCAGGGGTTTTTTCTAGCTCAGGGATCACTCCTAGCAGTGCTTGGGCACCATATGGGATGCAGGGATTGAGCCCAGGTAGGTCACCCGCATGGCACGCCCCCTACCCACTGTACTATCTCTCCAGTCAAATTAAGAGAGATTTGAGTTGAATACCTAAAAGAATTTTATCCAGAGGCATGAGTGGTGAGAAGTTATTCTAGCCCTGAGTAGTTTAGGGGAATTGAACCCAGAGTTTACCACTTAGTAGGGACTTTTATTGAATGATTACAGGATCAGATGGACTAAGAAGGGTCTTTGATCATTTTAGATTTCTTCCTAGAATCAAAGGAAAGACAAATTTGAAGACATAAGTGTAGGAATGGATGTAAGAAACTGGTAAAGGATATTATTGCAAAAGTTTTTAATGATAGGGAAATAAGCAGTTCTTTGTGCGGTGTTAATGGATGAGGAAATATTTTTTTCTTTTTCTTTTGGGTCACACCCAGCGATGCACAGGAGTTACTCCTGGCTCTGTACTCAAGAATTACCGCTGGCGGTGCTCAGGGAACCATATGAGTTGCTGGGAATCGCACCCGGGTTGGCCGCGTGCAAGGCAGACGCTCTACCCGCTGTGCTATCACTCCAGCCCCGGCAAGATTTTTTAAAGAAATAATGTGTTAAGGAGAAGGATGTGTACCAGGGATGTTTCTGCATTCAGGATTGGGTGTTTAGCAAAGTAGAATACCTTCTGTCATCGAAGGTCAAAAACACAGGCACACCCTGAAAAGTGACAGCATGATTTTAGACTTTACTTTGAACACTGACTCTGTTCACTAGTGTAAACATTAGGTAACTTGCCTGAGTCTGTTTATTTCTGTAAAATGAAAATACCTGATTTAGCAGGTTATCATAAAGATTAGGGGATTCTGGCTATTATCTATGATTTACTTGCAAAACTTGAGCAGAATATCTATCTGCTTTATTTACATTGTAAAAAGATATATATGTGTGTGTCTCTATATACGTATACATGCATGTATATGTATATATAAAACTTTGAGGTGCCGGTGTTGATGCCTGGTTTTATGTTACTGAAAAATTGGGCTTGAAATGGTTAAGTGTCCAGTCATACAGCTCATGGTGGGAGTGGCATCTGTAGGCTATTAAAAAAAAGCCAATGGGAAGGAAATGTAGGTAAATGGACAAACATAGTAACCTTCCAGTACCTATGTTGCAAACCATAATACCCAAAAGGGGTGGGGGGCAGGGAAGAGGGACAGAGGGGCAGAAAGGAAACTGGGGACACTGATGGTGGGAAATGTGCACTGGTGAAGGAGCATTGTATGATTGAAACTCAATCATGAACAACTTTGAAACTGTCTCTCTCACAATGATCAGTTACAATATAAATAAATAAATATACCAGGATAGTGATGAAGGACTGTGGGTACTTAGTGTGTGTGTGTGGGGGGGGGGGGGGGGGGAGATGTAGTAAGTTTGTATATCAGTGTCATAAATTTTGACACTATTGTAACTTTCCAAACTATAATAAAATAATGTTTTTCAATTAAGAAAATATTTAAATAGCCTAGGGAAGGGTTGATCAACAAAGGCAAGGGTACTGAAGGAAATAGGCTATAGCAGGGCTTTTAAAACTGTTCCCAATCACAGCCCTTTTTCACTCAAAAAATGCAGTGTTGGCAGGTGTTGCCAGAAATACCTCAGATTCATCATGCAGTTGATTTAGAATTAACTTTTGGTAATTGTACATCTAGAAACCACTTGCTGTTAGCAAATTTTTGTTATCTCACATTCAATTCTATAACCCTATCTGGGGCCATGATTCACTTTTATAAGCTAGTGAGGGGCTGGGGAGATAGTGCAGCAGGTCAGGTGTTTGCATGCACAATTCCCCACATCCCATATGGTCCCCTGAGCCCTGCAGCAGAGCCAGGAGTAAGCCCTGAGCACCACTGGGTGTGGCCCCCAAAACACCAACCAATAAATAAATAAATGCCAAGAGAGCTTGGGGACAGGAGCAGCTCTGGAAAAGCCATAGCTATATACCAAAACTAGAATAGCTAACTCTTAAATTTATTGCCATTTCTCAAGACTTGGCTTTTTTCCATGCATTACTTTTTTGAATATTTTGTACCGCCATGCCAGATCATGGATGGTACCAACTGGTTTGTTTCTCCTCTCAACGCTGTATTTTTCCCCCCACAGTATTTTAATAAACGAAAAACCTACTTTGCCCATGATGCTCTTCAGCAGTGCACCGTTGGAGATATTGTGCTACTCAAAGCTTTACCTGTTCCTCGCACAAAGCATGTGAAACATGAACTAGCTGAGATTATTTTCAAAGTCGGACAAGTCATAGATCCAGTGACTGGAAAACCCTGTGCAGGCACTACCTACTTGGAAAATCCAGTCAGCTTGGAAACCACCCCAACCAAAGATGTGAAAGAACGTTCCATCTCTTCACAATAAAGGAGTAGAAGGAGACAGGTGTTTTTGTTTTTTAAGAGAAAAAGTTTCATTACCAGCTATTTCTTCTGTTATTTATGAGAGAGATAAAAGGATATGATTAAATACTTGTTATAATTTTTCATAAAGGTCTCTGGTCATCTTTACGAATTTCTCAGTGAACATTCCTGTTTTGTTGTATTCCTCACAGTCTCCTACATTTTGACCATTCACTGTATCTGTATACTTCATTTCAATTTTAAGAATTTGCAATACTGGGGCTGGAGTGATAGCACAGCGGGTAGGGCGTTTGCCTTGCACATGGCCGACCTGGGTTCGATTCCCAGCATCCCATATGGTCCCCTGAGCACTGCCAGGAGTAATTCCTGAGTGCAAAGCCAGGAGTAACCCCTGAGCATCGCCAGGAGTGACACAAAAAGCAAAAAAAAAAAAAAAAAATAGAATTTACAATATTAGGAATATCAGAGATTTAGCTTTGTTGGTTTGTTATCATTCAAAGAATTGTGTGTTACCTTAAAACCTTTACTTGAGGAAAAAAACCTTTTTAGATCAAACAGACCAAACCACATTAATACATTCCTGCCTAAAGGTAATTTTCTTTTCTTTTCTTTTCTTTTCTTTTTGGGTCACACCCAGCAATTCACAGGGGTTACTCCTGGCTCATGCACTCAAATTACTTCTGGCGGTGCTCAGAGGACCATAAGGGTTGCTGGGAATCGAGCCTGGGTCCCCCGTGTGCAAGGCTAAAGCCCTACCCACTGTGCTATCACTCCAGCCCCAATTTCTTTTAAAAAAATTTAACCAGTGCCAGACAAATAATCCACATATTTGGGATTTTACCTTACCAAAAATAAAGACCTTACCAGATTTGTCTTTAATTTTTTTTTAAATATGAAACGCTTCATGAATTTGCATTTCATCCTTGCGTATGGGGCCAATTTTAGTATATGTGCTGCCGAAGAGAGCACAATTTGTCTTTCTTTTATCTTGGGAAAGCCACACGCTTGCTTGGGGAACTGCATGGTGCTTGGGATCAAACCAGGCATGCATGTTGTGCATCAAATCCTGCTTGCAAAGCCTGCTTTCAACCCTTTGAGACATCTCTATGGCCACATAATTGTCTAATAATATGAATGTTGATACATAGGAAATAGAACTTTGAATTTGTTTTGCTTTTCTTTTATCTTAGGCTCTAAGATAAGCAGGAGTGAGCCTTGCCGTATATGGAGCTCACCCGTGTTGATCCCTGGTACTGCATGGTTCTCTGAGCACCACAAGCTGTGACCCATAAACCAAAAAAAAAAAAAAAAAAAAAAAGCATGAAGTGGTGATAAGTTATAGTAGACCAGAGGTTCCGAAACTATTTGGCCTTCCACCCCATTGCAGCAAAACTCCCCCAAACCCTGCCTGGAGGCTACCTTCTTAAGGGATCAGAAAGCACCCTCACCAGTTACACCTGAGGAGGTTTTTACTTCCTCCATCCCCCCATCATTTCATCACCTACTTTGGGAAAGCATTGGCTATTTTAAAATGTTTTAGAACTCCTACATAAAAGTAAATAAATAAAATGTTTTAAAATGTAAAAATGCAGTCCAGGTAGTATAGCACTTGCGTGGGGCCAACCTTGATCAATTTCTGTTACCACATGTCCCCAGAGCCCACCAGCAGTGATCCCTGTGCACCCCCAGATGTGGCCTAAAAAAATAATAACTCCTGGAAGATACCCCACATTCATTCTAAGGCACTGAGTATTCTAAGCCACGCTGTGAAATAACTCCCCTCAACTTCTATTCCCTTCTCCCCCTCAGTAAAAAGCACTGAGCTAATGGAACTCCAGAGCAAGGTGATAGCAGGGGAAGAGAAATGCAGAATAAATAAAAAGCATTGTCAGCAAAGATGTTGATAAATGTTACATTTCAGAACAGATTTTAAAGCATCTGTTCCAGAACTAGGGCTGAGAAATCCTTAGACTGTAAGAAATTCAGAGGGTTCATTGTTACAACTGGCAAGAAGCCCTCAGCTATGCAGAACAAGGACCCTACTTTCCTTTGGGGCAGAGTCTCCCTTTAGGTCTACCAGCTTCTCCGGTCTATAGCAAACTGCAATCAGAAACTCCCACAGCCTCCAATCTCCTGTCCTTGTGCTTCTTGTGCTCCTTCCCACTGGCCTCCAAAAATTGCCACTTTACATTCTCTCAGACCTCTGTAGGATCCACTTCTGCCATCCCCTGTAATCTGTCCATATTTAAGTATTGCCCCAGTGGAAACTGAGGTAGTGGAAACTTCTGCCCCAGGCTTCCTCTGCCTAAAGATCACTTAGGTAAACCAGCTTCAAAGAACCTCAGCCCACAAACTTAAGTTCCTGACCCCACCCCTCCTTGGCCGATGGCCAGGACACCCACCGGATGGCATTTTCCTCCTGGCGTCTGCCTTCCTTTCTTCCATTTCTCATTTTCTGGCTCTCTTTCTGCTTGGTTTTGGTCAGAGTTTTAATGGTTAATTTCTAGCTTTTAGGAACCTCTTTGCCTTTTTTTGGGGGGGGGGGTCACTCCCGGTGATGCACAGGGGTTACTCCTGGCTCTGTACTCAGGAATTACTTCTGGCGGTGCTTGGGGGACTGTATGGGATGCTGGGGATCGAACCCGGGTTGGCCGCGTGCAAGGCAAACGCCCTACCCACTGTGCTATCTCTCTAGCCCCTCAGAAACCTCTTTGAAGAATATCATCCTGCCCCAGACCTCCGTTGCCTTGGCCAGAAATGTCCTTCCTTCTTCCTTTCTTCCACTCTCCTTGGACTGAGCATCACTTCACAGTCGCCACCAGTTACTTGCTCTGTTGCCCTGTCCCCCTCCCATCTTGTGACCAGCAACCATAGCCTCACATCACTACTCGTGACTCCAACAGTTTCACATTCTGCCCCCACGAGACTGGGGCAGCTTGAAGGCAAGAGAGGGGCCAGCTAATGCCACCGTGTTAAAATGAACAGGAACCGTGCAGCGCAAGACCACTAGAGAATGCCTTTGCTCTCACCATAAATGCTTTTATTAATGAGTTTTATTTTTCCAGAAAAACGTAAGTATATATGATGTCATGGGGTTCCCAGTTTACCTGGGTGAAGTAGGGAGGAGCGAGGTGGCAGCCTGGAGAAGAGACTACACGGATAAGGCAGGGAGACAAGGAAGCCCCACACCCCATCCCACCCACCCCACCATGGCAGTAAATTCCTGGGAAGTAAGAAAACCAATAGCGCCAAGGCTGTGAAAACTCACCTTGTGAGTGCTGGAACTAAGGCCTGATGAGATGTTTACCTGCAGCAACACAGACCCAGAGAAAGGCTGGACCCCCACCACCATCAGAGGAAAGCTCCAGCTGGAAAGACCAGAAAGAATTATGCATGTGCTTCCCCCAGCCCGTGTGCTGCCTGTGCCCATATGTTGCTGCTGAGTGCATGTGGTGCCTGACCTAAAACATGTGTCACTTGCCTCACCTCTTGAGATGTGGACTTTGATACTTTCATATCATATCTAACACTGGAATCTGGGATTTCAGCCTTTGGAGAAGCCTTTGTTCTCTCTTGAGCACCTCTCTCCTCTCTCTCTCTCTCTCTCTCTCTCTCTCTCTCTCTCTCTCTCTCTCTCTCTCTCTCTCTCCAACCTCCATCCCCCTCAAAACCTCCAAATAAAATCTGGTGTTTTGTTTGTTTTTGCTTTTGGGTCACACCTGGCGATGCATGGGGATTACTCCTGGCTCTGCACTCAGGAATTACTCCTGGCGGTGCTCAGGAGACCAGATGGGATGCTGGGAATCGAACCTGGGTCAGCTGCATGCAAGGCAAATGCCCTACCTGCTGTGCTCTCGCTCCAGCCCCCCAAAATCTGGTGCTTTGGTTATATGTTTGTTTTTAACTTTACTGCTTGTCTCCTCCTGAAATTCTTTTCTCAGAGATAGATGAGGACCACAAAGGCCTGGGTAGGGTGAGGACTGACTGGCCTGTCTTGCAAAGAGTGATCCTCGCTCCAGCCTGAGTCCGCGGCTCCCCAGGGAATCAGGTGGTGGGATGGTGGGAATGAACTCCGGTGACTCAAAGAGCAAGTAGACGTTAGGTGTGACTTGGCGGCTGCCTATGGAGGGTGGTGGGACGTGCAGTGTAGAGGCTGATCACAGACTTGATCAGTCTTAGAATTTTCAGCCATTATCGGGGTGGCAGAGGTGAACTCGGTAGAAAGTTGCAGATTACCTTCTTGAGGCGGCCGTCTCTCTCACTTCACGGAAGTCACCTGCGGACCCCACTGACCTGACTGCTTTCTCTCTATTCACTTTTGGCGCCCCAGAAACGGCTGGAAAGAATCTGCAGCGGGCCTTGCTCTTTGCAGGTCAGCCAGTACCTAGACCTTCCCCAGTCCGAGACCTCACAGAGGGTGTGAGATCTAGGACTGGGTTCCCTGGAGTAGAAAGCACCCAGGACGCATCTCAGGAGGGGAGGACCAGATGCACGGTCTGGCAACACCTGTATGCAGGTGACACATGCGCACAGCAGTAACACAAGGGCACGAGAGCAGCACGTGGACTCTGGCAGCTACTGGGTGCCTGCCCTGCTCAAGTCGGCTTTTGGAGGGTTTCGCAAGCACGCGCCCCACGAGGGCAGCCTGGGAGCAGCTGATGGTCCTTTCCTGGTCTTTTTCCAGGTGGAGCTTCTCTCAGAAGGGGGGGGGGTCCCTCCTTCTGGGGGCCCGCAGTGAGCCAGCTCAAGGTCTCATCAGTTCCCGGGTCCACAGATGGGTCCTGGCAGCCTTCGGGCCAGCGGGTTTCATTCATTTCTTCCTAAGAACCCATGGCCCTGGAAGTCTCTATCTGCTGCCAGCTGCTTCAATGCGATAGAGACAGTAGCATGGCATTTGCATGGCATTTGCATGACAGATGCCAAGGGTCTCCTTCCAGAAGCCTTCCCCGCTGGCCCCGGGTCCCCGCGCTCCATCCAGCACGACGCTTTTCGGAAGCGTCTGTTCCCCGCTAAGTGCCCCGCGCTGCCAGGCCGCTCCTCGGTTCCGGGCCCCGGTGCCCGCGGCGGCCGCGCGCCCCGCTCCCCCTGGCGGCGACGCCCCCGTCTGCAGGCCCCGAGCCCCGCCCCAG